GTAATGATAATGAGAAAGACTAAACATCGATAATACAGTTTGAAAAGACTGAATGAAAAGGTATACATGAGGGAATACTAGAACCTAAGATCTAGATGAAAATACAAAGTGGATGAATCTAAGCCACTAACCAATCCTAAGACATTTCATCTACCCTCTTCAATCACTGATAGCAAATATCACAGTGACCTCAACTAGGGGATATGGACATATCTATATGGCTCAGACTAGAGGTCAATGACTTTTAAATAGCTTCCGCCCAATTCGTCACCCTAAACTAACACCCTAAGCTTAACCTCAACATTACTCATTCGGTTGCTCCATGGGACGTGAACAATATTTCGAAGACATCTATCATCAAAAACCTGCAGCTTATGCATGCCTCCCACTTTTAAAGTCCAAGTTACGTGCCCATCAGCTCTACTCTGATGGAATTAGATACTAATTTCAAATTAGAATGATATATTAAATAAGTTATATGAACTGGATTCAGAATTCTAGCCACGGACCATTACAATAACATCATACTTGAAACATCTAAGAATGGTTTACAAAGTTTCGTCCAGTAAAAAGATTCGTTTCAATGACGGCGAACTGCATTGACACAAGCTATAAGGTGGTGGACACGGAGGGTCCACCTAGGGGAGTTGGAAAACCCTGATTACAAACCGACGGTGCACATGGGCTCCAGTATCCTGATGGAACGAATGGCGGACGAACCTGTCATTGGTCAACGGCTACCATGGGACTGCATCTCCTCACGATGCTCCACTGCCTTGTGGATCAGACCTTTTGGTCAAAGGCTCGGGGTGTGGCCCCCTAAGAAAACCACCTGCTTCGGTTTGGGCACCCGGGCAGTATTACAGCCCACACACACAAATAGTGTGGCGCGTATGTACCTGGTGCCCTTTTGTACCAATATATATGTGTTTAAATAAATAAATATAATAATAAGCTATAAGGTGCGGAGTTAGAATGCGAAAACTGATTGGTTTATAAGTTGTTGAAACACTGACAAACAATTAAAAACTGGATAAAACTAGCAAATTTATGAAACCGAGTCTTATGAATCACCTTATTTGATTAAGAACTCGAACATGATCTGCACCTTGGCGATCAAGTTTGTTAATAAATGCGATTCGAGGTATATTATAACGATCCATTTGTCTAGTCACTGTGATTGTTTGACATTGAACTCCACCGACAGCACATAATACTAGAACTGCACCATCAAGTACTCGAAGAGCTCTTTCAACTTCGACTGTAAAATCTACGTGGCCGGGTGTATCAATGAGATTGATAGTGCAATCTTTCCACATTGTAAAGGTTGAGGCAGACTGAATCGTTATTCCACGTAGTCTCTCTAGTTCCATTGAATCCATCACAGCACCAACTCCATCTTTGCCTCTAACCTATAACAAAGAGTTAAATAGGCGTCAATTTTTTTAAAAAACATACGGGGACTTTATATGCAATTATAATTAACCGATATTTATTTATTATATCAGTAATTCAAAAATAGCCTAATATGATATGCGACCGAGGTAAAACTATTTAATAATAGCAATAATAAGGATATTATACAGTATGTTGTGGATGGGAATGGATAAAATTAGACCTAATTGCTCTTGAGAGTAGATCATACTGTTAATAGAGAACACAACAGTAATAGATGACCAACTATTAGAGGGCTGTACTGCGATCATATTGGTTTGTTCCGTATACTTGAATTGTAAAGAGACGTATGTATGCAGGACAACTCACCGACTCGTTTGAAGTAAAGACCGGTGTTAGGCAAGGTTGCTTACTCTCACCCTTTCTCTTTCTCATGGTTATCGACTCGATCATGAAGACGTCAACATCTGGAGGGAAGCACGGGATACAATGGACAGCTAGGATGCAACTGGACGATTTAGACTTCGCAGATTATCTAGCTCTTCTATCACACACGCAACAACAAATGCAGGAGAAGACGATCAGTGTAGCAGCAGCCTCAGCAGCAGTAGGTCTCAATGCACACAAAGGAAAAAGCAAGATTCTCCGATCCAACACAGCATGCACCAATCGAATTACACTTGACGGTAAAGCTCTGGAGGATGTGAAAACCTTTACATATCTGGGCAGCATCATTGATGAACACGATGGATCTAATGCAGATGTGAAGGCGCGGATCCGCAAAGCACGAGCAGCATATTGACAACTGAAGAACATCTGGGACTCAAAACAATGGTCAACCAACACCAAGATCAGAATTCTCAATACAAATGTCACGACAGTTCTACTGTATGTGGCGGAAACCTGGAGAACTACGAAAGCCATCATCCACAAGACAGGTGTTTATTAACAGTTGTCTGCGCAAAATACTTCGGATCCGTTGGCCAGACACCATCAGCAACAGGAGTAGGTTGGAAGCTAGGGGCGGCCAGACCAAAACGTGGCACAAATCCACGAAGTCGCTGACAAGTGGACTGAGCCATGTTGGTAGGTGTAGACTACCTGGTTGAGATTTGCGAGATTATAGCAACCGATGGTTAGAGACCTCGAATGACATGGCTCAAAATGGTTTGCAATGGCGAAGGTGCATCCACTATTTGTGTTCTCCCAAATTCTAATTCTCTGAATTCTTCATGTCCCTATCCTTTTTCTCTTTTCAAATTTATTCCACCGTATTATACTCCTTCAATAACATCTTTAAACCCTAATCTTTTGGATTACTGCTTATACTCTTACTACTTCTACCACTATGGGATTTGAATGGACAACTGCATCTCTGTGTTAATGTGATATGGCAGCTCGAACTGATGTACGTACGTACGAAGTTCTACGCTGTAACTGACTGATCAGCAACAACCTACCGTGCGAGAGAACAAACCAGATTCCAGTGGAGGAAGAAATCAGGAAGAAGCGCTGGGAGCCGATAGGACACACATTGAGGAAATCACACAACTGCGTCGCAAGACAAGCCCTCACATGGAATCCTGAAGGTCAAAGGAGAAGAGGAAAACCAAAGAACACATAACGCCGAGAAATGGAGACAGACATGAGAAGAATGAACAAGAATTGGATAGAACTAGAAAGAAAGGACCAGGATAGAGTGGGTTGTAGAATGCTGGTCGGCGGCCTATGCCTCATTGGGAGTAACAGGCGTAAGTAAGTACGGAGACGTATATAGCCGTAAAATAAGGGATGTCGACATTATAATATCCAGTATTGGGTCCTAAAGGTTGTACAACTTATTAGAATGATTTAAAAGAAAACTACAATTTACGGATGAACCAATATGACTAAGAATAGCGTCATGGATTTCAGCGTGAAATTCATTCGCCCCTATAGTGAGATAGCATTTTGGCACTACAGCTGATGAGTTAGTGATGAAAACCTTTACTTTAATTCCTAACTCTAAATTCAAACTCCCAATTCTAATCCTAATTCCTCATACTAATTAATAGCCATTTTTTACCTCTGTAAGTAGGTGAGCTGTCTCAAGATCACTTCAGCGTCGCTCAAAAATCGTCTGTAAATAAGTCACATCATTTGAAATTAGAAAGAACATAACAGAAGCCAATGGTTAGATTGTAAGAGCTTTAAAATATATTCCCCGTAAAAAAACCCAACATAGCTTGGAACTAAATGCAATCTAAGCTAGGTAAGTTTTTATTTCAACTGTATTTCTTAACAGATCAGTGTTCCAGTGCTTTTATTTACTCATGCCATGACTGTAAGTCTTCCAGATCTACATCACATCACCTTCTTTAAAGAGATTTCTTCTATCTTGCTCGATAGGGCAGGCCTTGAGTCATAAAAACATACTCAAAGGTTTTATAAAATACAACAGAAAGCCTGGTGAATCCTATTAGTTTGGGTAATTTTATTTTGTAAGAGTATCATAGACATTTTCAACACCAGCTTATTGCCTAAGATAGCCAAACAAACGTCCAAGGTTTAAAATTTTGAAAAAGGGAAAGGAAGAGTCGGAAATGATGCTAAAACGTTATTTGTTAATCGGAAACCAAAGTGGCTGACGTTTCCGATATTTATTCATGCACCTGAGCTACAAATCCCCACCACAAAGACTAAATGTTTACGGCTTTGTAACCAGAGAATAGTTTGAACTCACTTCATGCATCTCCTTTATTCTTTTGGTGTAGAAAAGAATTCTTTCGGAAAGTGTAGTCTTCCCGCTGTCAATGTGAGCAGATATGCCAATATTACGGATTTTTGATAGGTCTAAGACATTCTAGACAGAAATCGTACTCAAATACTAGTTTACATTATTGGTTGATAAGTTTCTAAAAGTAATCGGAAGGGTCTTCTGTAACGCGCTCACAGCGCGTACAACACGAAGCATAGGTATTGACCTTCAAATAGAACGAAGCGCCTTTCAAATGGTCCAGTTCAAATGGTTCAAATGGTTGAGGACGGGATAGAAGAAGCTTTCGCTTAACGGGCTTCCGTGTCTGGTAGCAGTGGATCACCAATACCTCCAGGCAAGAACCTAGGTATATGAACGATAATAGAGGGAGAAAAAAAAGAATTTGGTAAATCATAATAATATGTTATCCTTAGTCCTTAAGAATAAGTCAAGTTTTCTCTTAAAGGACTCCTGGGAGGTCGCTTGGACTAGCTCAGTTGGCAGCGAATTCCAGCACTTGACAACTCTAACGGAGTAGAAGTTGTGTCTGCAGTCTGTTCTGCTATGTAGGGTCTCCAATTTCTGGGTGTTACCTCTGAGGTTAGTGTTATGACTAAGCTTAAGAAGGTGTTTAAGGGGATGACCAGAAGTATTAAGGATACTATAAGTCATAAGAAGATCACCTCTAAGACGCCTATACTCTAACGGGTAAAGGTTAAGTGATTTGAGGCGCTCTTCATAAGGTTTGAATTTGAGACCCCGAACTGATTTCGTGGCTCGACGTTGTATACGTTCCAGAGTGACCTTATCCTTTTGGAGGGAGGGAGGAAATACTATGTTTCCGTACTCTAAGTGGGGACGAATAAAACTGTTGAAGATTATGTGGAAGGTTCTACCGTCAAACTGGCCAAAAATGCGCTTCAATGTTACCAGTGCAAGGTTTGCTTGAGAGGCGTTTTTGTCACAGTTCGCGTATGATTTCAGGTCGTAGGGTACCAACACTCCTAAATCTTTTTCAACTTGGGAAACTTCTAGAGGGGAGTTACCTAAGTTATAACTATAGTCTGCAACATGTCTCAGATGGACTACCTTACACTTTGAAGTGTTGAAGGTAAGTCCGTTGTCGTCTGCCCAACTTTGAAGTCGAGTCAGATCCTCCTGCAGAACTAGTATATCATTGTGAGTACGTATCTCTCTCCAAAGTTTCACATCATCAGCAAAAAGCAATAAATCAGATGAAACTTGTTGAGGAAGATCGTTAATATAAATCAAGAAGAGAAGAGGTCCTAGTATTGAACCCTGGGGGACCCCACTAGGACATTCCATAGCCTGAGAGAGAGTGAAGTTAACCCTGACCTTAAAATGTCGGTTTTCTAGGTATGAAGTGATCCAGTCAATTAAAGGGGGTTTTATACCCAATCGTCCAAGCTTCTTGATAAGACATGCATGGTTGACCCTATCAAAAGCTTTTGAGAAGTCCAGGTAAATGACGTCAACCTTCCCCTTGCGATCAAGGACGGTTGTCCATCTATCCACCGCAGTCAGCAGGTTGGTCATACAAGAATGACCTTTTCTGAAACCATGCTGTTGAGGCGAGAAGAACTTTGAGGATGATAAGTGTTCTAGTATGCCGTCAAATACTAGGGATTCCATAATTTTTGAAGGTATGGAGAGAAGGGCCACTGGTCGGTAGCTTGAGGGTTCACTGCGTCGACCTCCTTTGAAAATTGGTGTGATGTGGGCCAGCTTCCATATTTCCGGTAGTTTGCCTCTGCTTAGCGAGTGTGCAAACATCACGCTAAGTGGTGTCGCCAGGATTGAAGCTGCTTCCCTCAATACGGCGGAATGAACCATGTCCGGACCAGGAGAAGTGTCTTTCTTTAGGTTCTGCAGTTTACGGAGCACCAAGTCAGCACTCAGGTCCACTTCGGAAAGTCCTGTACAGGTGCAGGTGAAGCTTTCGTCAGTATGGTTGATGTGGGTCAGTTGGAATGTCCGGGAGTAATGTTCAGCCAAAAGGTTAGCGGCATCACTGTCGTTGTTGGTCGGGCCATTAGGACCAAGCAGTTGGGAAACTCCAGTTTTGCCTTGTCGAAGAGAAGCTGCATAACTGAACAAGCTTTTCGGATTGGAGACGAATCTATCGATAAGCTTGGTCTGGAACTGCAGCCTGTCTTCTCTTATTGCCTTTGTGCATGTGTTCCTTATATGTTTGTATTGCCTGTACGCGCCGTAGTTATCCGTTCGTTTATATTCAGCCCAACAATGCCTTTTGCGGCTTAACAAACGACGAGTGCGGTTCTTGATGATTGCAGGTTGCTTGTAGCTTTTTAGGACCATTTTAGGAACTGAATGCTCAGTAGCACATAAAATCGTGTGCAGTAAAAAATCCCAATGAGCATCCACTTCAATTTCAGGGCGAACATCCCAATCCACCTGTTGAAGATAGTCCTGTAAAGCTAACACGTTCAACCGTTTGAAGTTCCAGCGCTTGTTGCTAGTAGGATATCGTAGCTCCGTCTTGCTGATAAAGCTGAATGATAAGACGGCGTGATCACTTTTGCCCAGGGGAGCCAGGATTGAGAGGTCGTCAACTAGGAATTCTTCGTTTGTGAATACCCAGTCTAAGCGTGACGGCGTCTGACTGTTTCTCCAACGGGTTGTCGACTTCACATTTTCAGATAATTCCAGGTCGCCGATAAGGTTGAAGAACAGAGCTTCAGTAGAGTTGGCACCACCAATGTATGTATGTTCCACGAAGTTGATTCTAGGGAGATTGAAATCCCCTAGAATCAGGATATGAGAGAATCTGAGACGCGTAGAGCGAGTTAATCCTTCCAGCAGACGTTTGTCATATTCGATGTCGGCAGTGGGCTTCCTGTAAACGACCCCAACTAGGCACCTCGAGGTGGTAGATAATCTTACTGAGCACCATACTAACTCGTCAAGATTGTGAAACTCTTGGTTGTGAAGTTGGTGCGCATCCAGGCATGACCGTACGTATAGTGCTACCCCACCCCCCATTCCTGTTTTTCTGTCGTTGCGAAATAAAGACATCCCAGTTATTGCTAACTCTTGGTCCGTAAACTGAGACGTTATCCAAGTTTCGGATATTCCTATCAGATGGGCATCATTAGCGTTGCTAAGTTCACGTAGCTCATCCATTTTGTTTGGCAAGCTCGCGGCGTTCGTGTTTAGGCAGTTTATGCTTTCAATTTGGAACGCGTGAGCCTCTTCTTGTTTGTCTATATGAGCCGTGTGTGAGTGGACAGGTAGTCTACCTATACGATGTTTACCGAGTTGGTAGTCCCTGTCCTTTACACGTTTTTTTTATGATCAAGACAGTCCACGAGTGGAATTGTCAGCTCCAGCTTTCGTTTGTGCTTGATCCTGCTGTCGTGGGGCCTATCCGGATGCATATGGATGCCAGTTGGCAACCGACGTCTATTGGCACGAAATGCTTCCAGAGTTGCAGCCGCCATGTGGGAGGAGGGGAAGGTTATCTTCAGCAGCCGGGGCCTAGAATCTCCGTCTCTCTTGGCCAGTCTCATTACCTGTTGGGTCAATATGTTCTTGAGTTTTAAGGAATGCTTGATGAATTTCCATTCCCGAATATCAGAGTTTGCTTGAGCTGGGTCCATATTTTCCGGCACACCTTGCACAATGATATTTCGTCCACGGAAGAACGCCTCGCGAGATTCCTTAGGGATGTTCCGGATGAGATTTCGTTCAGAATACGGTATGTCGGGCAGTATTCTTACGTTCCCATCGGACCTCAGTAAGTGACTGGCTAGTAGGACGTCCTCTACGTCGGAGGCATTCTTAAGTGTAACACGAAGCAGCCTCGGGTGGTTTAGGTGGTTAGAGTCCTTCCCCCGAGTGAGCCGTGTGACGGTCAAAGGCTCTAATCTAGGGAGTTCAAGCCTCCTGATTAATTCTCCCCAGAGCATCCTATCGTTTTTGTCCTGCAAACTGAGAGGAAGGTCGGGGTTGTCAATAAGGTTCATGATTATGACAGAGTCGTCACGAACCGCAATTGATTTCCCAGGTTTACCAGGGCGTCTAGGTTTGGTATCTTGTTGTTTGGATGTCGAGGCGCGTTTTCGATTCCTGGGCTCAGTGATGACCGGGCGGACAGTCTTGGGTGTAGACTGTGCGGCCAAAGCATCAATTGATTTACGCACGATACTTGGGACGTTCAGTTTCGGCGGGGACGCTTGGGCTTTATTACTCCTGTTAACGTGAGTCCATTCACCTACAGGATTTTTAGGAACCACTGTCTCATTCAAGGACCGTTCCCCGGAGGACCCAAGTTTACTGAGGGAGTCGATGACAGTCGATGTTAAGATGGTGCTGAGTTTCAACACATCATCACTCGTGCTGTTAACAGCACCGTCGATAACCGACCTGTCAGTATCCTTTTTCTTATTTGCCCTATGCGTTCCAGCTTTGTTACCCGTCATGATGATATCATTAACCGAATTCTTTGACAACTTATCTCTCAGACCTGTCAGTAAAGTAATGATAGTACCCAACATAACTACCGTATCGGTGTTGCAGGTAACACATACCCACTTACGATCAGACTTGCTGAGTCTGCTATAGGCTGCTGCTGTTAGGTCTGTACATGCATCATGGAACCAACCTTTACAGTTGTCACATTGCATGCCAGATGTAACGGCAAAACGGCAACCAGGTCTCTTGCATGAATTTTTCATGGCTAGTGATTTAGACTGTCTTAAAAATATAAGCAGTAAATTTAGGACCGATAAAAAAACACACAGTAAACAAAAACTATCAAAAATGTATAAAAACAGTTAACGATAAGCTAAAGCTAGCCTTTACGTGAAAACTATAAAAAAAAAACCGATAGTGAGCTGAGGCAAAACCACAGTAATAAGGATAGTAGGTTGATGAACCTGTGTTAATCCTGACAGATTTCCTTCCAGTGAAGGTCCAGCTTCTCTTTGAAAATGTTCACTGATGGTGCTGATACCATTTGTTCTGGTAAAGCGTTCCAGTCAGTTTCAGTTTCAGTTTCAGTTTGGAAAGGACAGGAGGCTTGATGGCCTGTGTTAGTCCTGGCGATGATGGTCTCTCAGCTGATCCAGCTTTCCCTTGAAAGAGTCGACGGATGGAGCCTCAACCACGTGCTGAGGTAATGAATTCCACTCGTTGATTATTCGATGGGAAAGTCGGTAGTCAGCTGACAAGTAATTCGTTCTGCGCTCGTGAACTTTTTTGGAGTGTC